CTACAGTATGGCAACTACTCCTCCTGGAACAGTTATAAATGCAGGAAGGTCATTTAGAACAGAAATTCTTAAACTTTTTGGGGCCTGTGACACCTTTGGCATCTGCTGAGACTTAAGGTTTCCTTCTCAGAATAATGTTTTAAATTACAAAGCAAATTGAGTATATTGAAATGTCATAAGATTATTTTTTATCTTAACTATTTTAATGTCAATGTAAATATAAGACAGTTATAAATATATGTACTCCTTTATTCATTGATTGTATAAGATCTAATAGTAGGTCCGATCATAAAGCAGATGCACACAAGACCAGTGCTGGGTGGTCTACAGTAAGTACGATGTGATTGCAAATAACTGCTTTCTATTGGTGACCAAGTCACGTGGGCTGACAATGCTACCATAGCATATTATCTATACTTACAATGAAAAGAAATGCTGAATTTCCACTTAAGGTTAGTGAAGGTAAAGATGTCTTTATTATTATTTTTTTTAACCTTAAAATTCACAGACTACCCCCTGAATTCTATCCATAAACTGCTTGGGAAAACCAGATTAACCACTTTTTATTTAAGAGGTTATTTTAGTTATCATGGAGAGAAAAGATAGAGGCATGATCTAGGGTAGCAGCAATAGAGATAGCAGTAACGGGGCCCGATTGGAGATACTTTTGGAGGAAAAATTAAAGGGACAGAAAAAGGAGAGATTTTCCAGAGTTATTGGGGAAAGCTTCAAGGAAAACCAGGTCTAGGGATGGAGAAGAGACTGTGCAAAATGTTTGCTGGGACAGGCAAGACGCAAGAAGATCTGCTGGCAGGTTGTTATTAGGGCTCACTGTCATGTCATGTAAGGGGCAAGGATGACAGCCATGGGTTAGAAAGGAGGAGCATTCAGGCTGACCCCGTACATAGCATAGATAACCAACTCCCACATGGCTGACCACAGTTCAAATCCCAGTCTTGGTACCATGTGCCAGCTGGGTGTACATGCGTACCCTAAATCCTAATAAGATAGGAAAGAAAAGAGGAGTGTTCTTAAAGATTAAATTAGGAACAGAGACTTACAGCCTGGCCAGTCACAAGCTGGGAGGCTGGGGGCAAACACTTAATGAAGTCTCGGCCTCACATATTTAAGATGAAGACTAAAATAGCTTATGACCCGTAATGTTGTTGTAAGGATTAAATGAGATCCTGTGTGTCAGTGGTTAGCATAGCTCTGACCCATAGCCCGGCTGATAACATTCGCCATGACTCTAATCACTACGGGCATTCTGACATTGTGTTGGCCCTTGCCCACAGGAGATTGCAACCTAGTTGAGGAAACAAGATGAAACACAGCATATTTTGAGAAGGAAGGCATTAAGAATCAAGCATTCAAATATAAGATACGAGCAACTCTAAGTTATTGATGTTACCTAGTATGGCACTTGCAGTATTGTAAAAAAAAAAAAAAAAAATTGAGAATTCCTGTCATGTATTTGTGTGCGATCACTATGCATGAGTAGGAATGGATGGGGCTGGGTCTTTTCTTAACAAGTAAGTTTTATGTATTACTGATGTCTCTGCTGCTTAACAGGAATGCTTCTATTTGGTATACTACTGACTATTGCTTAAACAAATAAAAAGTAAAAACAAACCAAAAAAGAGAGCATATGTTATTTAGCATGAAAGTGTGTCCTTTGCTTCCATTTAGAAGGACTAAGATAGAATCAGGCAGTTTCCTGTCATTTGATTATAGTAGCATTCTTATTTTTTTTTTTAAAGGTTTTTCACTATAGGACGCATGCGCTCGCCAGACAGACAGAGAGAGACGGAGAGACAGAATGTGAGAAATCACCCCCCAGAGAGGATGGCCACGCCACAATCCCTTCTCCTCCATTCTCCTCTCGGGATCTTGGGCACGCACGCACACGCGCCCGGCATGGGTTTTAAGCCGCCGGGTCCGGGAAGCGAACCGTGGTCGACTATGTGAGAGTCCAGTGACATAGCCATTACGCTAACTGGTGGTTCCCGATTATAGTAGCATTCTATAAAGAGGCATAAAGAATTACAATTTCAACCTGTAGCACTAGCAGTGAGAAAATTTAACTCAGTGTTTGGGGCAAAATAGGAACACAATAAAAATATAAGCAATTAAACAGGTTTCTTTCTTTTTAAAAAAAAAAAAAGAAAAAACATAGATCGTGTGTGCTCACTGGAGAGAGAGACAGAGAGAGGGAAAGTGAGAAATTCCCCCTCACCCTCAGGAAGCATGGTCACATCACAGTCCGTTTTTCTCCACTCTCCTCCTGGGGTCTTGGGCACACACACGCCCAGAGTTTCAAACTGCTGAGTCCAGGTCTCAAACTTCAGTTGGCCATGTGGAAGTCCAGTGTCTTCCACACCACACTAGCTGTTAGCCCCAGCAGTTAAAGAGTCTAATAAGACTGATTTTTATATAAATACACTGTGCTGGTTTGAAGAGTGTTCCCTAAAATCCATGCCTCCCTAGAATCTTAGAATGTGATCTTACTTGGAAATAGGGTGTTTGTCGATGTAATCGAGTTAGGAAGTCATACTGGGTTAGATTGGGACTAGGACAGTGACTGGTGAGATGGGACATGTGCACACAGAGAGGAGAATGCCATGTGAAGATAGCAAGGCATGCAGGACAGAATGCTCTGTGAAGATGGAGGCCTAGCTTAGAGTGGTGCATGTACAAGCCCAAGGGGCAACAGGGATTGCTGGCTGCCACCAAACGCCAGGAGACAGGCATGGAACAGACTCTCCCTCGAAGCCTCCATTGACCACCAGCTCCACCAACACCTTGGTTTCAAACTTCTGGCCTGCAGCACTGCCACTGAGAGAGAATATGTATCTGTTTCAAGCCACCCAATTTGTGCAGAAAGAAACACATACACATGTCTCCAACTTTTTCTACCAATCTGGGTAGGCTAGTTTTTATGATAGTAACAAAAGGTCCCCTCGCCCATTCTTAGGAGATTACAACAAAGATACTGTATGCTTCTCACTCCTGTAATCTACCCATCGCAGATCAGCTTCCACTCCATACATGTCACCTTCATCTGGAACCCTGGGAGATAGAGCAGCCTCTACCATCTAATCTGTGACAAAGGGAACAGAGTCCAAAAGCTCAAGGATGTAGGGGATGAGAAGATAAAATTGATTCTCATATTCAACCAGTGTATCATAAAGTTGAAATGTCTTTAAGTGACAATGATCTAATCAACTCAGCCCTGGGAAAGAACAAATCAAGGGTGTGGCCACTGTCCCCTTTATCAGTTAAGGGAGTTCCTAGTAAATTATTCCAGTGCATGAAGTGGCAGAGGATAAAGAAGATGGCAAGCTAAGCATTGGCTTTTGAAGCTCCTACCCAAAAGAGATCCATTTAATTCTACTCACATATCCTGTCCAGAGCAAGTCAGACATCGTGTGGCCATTTAATGTCACTGTGTGGGTATGTAAGCTACTTATAGGGAGAGACACTGAATATCTTTAGCAATGATATCATCTGTCCATCTCTATGGGGAATTATCCTTTCAGTCATCGTTTAGAGGCTTTTATACTGGCTCAATGATGTTGCTCTCATTGGAAAAATCTTTGGGAGTGATCTTCAGATTATATTATATCACGTATATTATATCATGTGAAAAAACAGACTCTACATTATGATCTACTAGGTAGATCAACCCAGGGAATTCCACTGTGGTCACAAATGTGGTCACAAATGATTTTTAGTTTATTTCCCCAAATGAAATCTATCCCCTTGAGTAATAAAAATGTACTACTGTCAAGGTGGCTGGTCAGAGGGAGAAACGATAGACAACTTGTAACAAAATTCTACAGACATTTTGTGAGAAATGACATCACTGGAATCAGCGACAGCCTTCCACAAAACATCCCTAAGAAATACAGTGTTTGCTTGAAGTCCTCTATGTAATATTATAGAGTATATATAATATATAAAAATATGTACTATATAATTGCATGAATACACACACACATGCATATACAAAAGGGTCTTCAAAAAGTTCATGGGAGATGCATACTATAAAAAGTTATACATAGATCTCAAATTTTTTGCACCAAAATAAACTTATACTTTAATTTTATTTTTCCACAAACTTTTGGGAGTCCCCTGTTCACCTACTGATGTCTTTGGCTAATAAGGAAAACAAACATGACTTTAGGCATTCCTAGCATCATTTCTGAAGCAGAAAGGCACAAATTCAGAATGATAGTAACAGCCAGCTTGCGTGGAAAGCTTATTATGTGCAGACGCTCCGAGGTTTACAGATGATCTCATGTCACCCTGGCAGCCAGGGCGGGAACTACAGTAAGCCACGGGAAGTGTCTGGAGCACAGAGCTGAAGGCGACATCCACCCTCACAGCCAAACAAGAGCAGGCTTGGTGCTTGCCTGACCCCGACAGTGATGGCCTCCTTTAATTCTGTGCTCGGACTGCCTTACTCACCGCTCCTCAGTCCTGGACCTAGCCCCTGTGTTGTAAGGTCAAGATCATCAACTCTTTCTTGGGAACCAACAGTTAGTGTAATGGCTATGTCGCTGGACTCCCACGTAGTCGACCGCAATTCGCGTCCTGGACCTGGTGGCTTAAAACTCACGCCGGGCGCGTGTGCGTGCGTGCCCAAGATCCCGAGAGGAGAATGGAGGAGAAGGGATTGCGATGTGACTATCCCCCCTGGGGGGTGATTTCTCGCTTTCTGTCTCTATGTTTCTGTCTATCTGTCTGGCGAGTGCACATGCCCTATAGCAAAAACCTCTCAAAAAAAAAAAAAAAAAAAAGATCATCAACTCTTTCTTTGCAGATGAGGAGCAGAGGCTTACAGAGGTTGCGTATCTCGCTTGACTTTCACACAAGTGGTGGGGCAAGAATTTGACCCCAGGCCACTGGACCCCAAAGCTTGGGCCATGACTGACTATCCCAGAACATACCTCCATAATGTCTCATTTGCATTTCGGTTGTTCTGTCTTTCTTCCCAGGTCTCCAAGGCAGCCGCAGACTTGATGGCCTACTGTGAAGCGCACGCTAAGGAAGATCCCCTCTTGACCCCAGTTCCGGCTTCAGAAAATCCGTTTAGGGAGAAGAAGTTTTTCTGTGCCATCCTTTAAGTCTTCAAGAGGAGCCTGAAGAGCCTCAGGGCTCCTGGGACTTTGATGTAGAGTTTTTAGCAAAGTGGGCATCTTTCTAGTCCACGGCATTGAAAAGGAGGGAGGAGAACCATCCTGGAAACTCCAGGCTATGCATGTTTAAAAGAACTGGTCCCCTTTATGAGAATGATAGCTGATCGTAATCCTGAGTTACGAGATCTGATTCTGCAGAACTACCTGGAGGAGGGGAATATATCAAAATAAAATCGGTGTCACTTCATTTCTGCTATCTCCCCTCAAACCTTATGTTTCTGCTTCATATTTTAAAAAGTAATCATTAAAACAGACAGCTGTCCTGAGCTAAGATATGTATGACCTCCTTGAATGAATATTGTCTTAAGAATCCCCTTTGATAAACTGAGTTGTCCAGCATAGCCACAGTTTGGGTTCATGGCATTGATGTTCGGTGTTTGTGCCTTCCTTTCTCTTTTTCCCCCTTCTACCCTTTCTTCTGCCCCTCCCGTTAGAGTAGTGGGGAGATAAGGCTAGACTTGTTTGGAAGACTGAACTCCAACAATAAACACCCAAAATGTCTAGGGAGAGGTTCTCTAAGTAATAACAAAAAAAAAAAAAAAAAAATCTCTAAAACAAAACTTAGTCCTAGGGAGAGGTTCTCTAATAAAAAAAAAAAAAAAAAAAAAAAAAAAAGCCGATTGTCTGCGTGATCACTATTCCTAACATTTGTACATGGAAACTTTGATTCTGCAAGTAAAGTAAATCATGTGTTGTGATTGGTGCTTTCATATCTTTGTGACAGTTTTTGAGTAATACTGCATGAAAATGTCCCTCTGTTACATCCATTCAGTAGTTTTGTTGTTTTATTATCAGGCTGGGAAAAGAAATGAGAGAGAAAAGACACTAGGAAGGAAAACACTCAGTACTTTGAAAACTGAGATAACTTCAGAGCCTTAGCCACACCTAAAATACCTCCTAGTTAATAATGGTCTAAATGCCTCTTCGACGTTTTTCAGAATCAAAAGCATTTTGGTTTAGCCAGGATCCAGGGCAGCAGAGGCACCACCCAGCAGGAGCGTTAAGAATTCGCCGTGAGTTCGGAAGTGCTTTCGCCATACAATATGAGCAAATTCCATCGTTCCCTAAATTCCAGAAATTTAAGATGGGAAGAATGCATTCCATGCTCTTAACTAGAAAACTGTGACCCTCCTTTGTTCACATATCAGAAAAAATAAATCTTCAGCTCTAGAGAAGGCAACCTATTCTCAGAACCCTGGCTGTTCACCCATCTGAGAAGGACCCCAGACAGCCCACTCTGGACTGCAGGTATGGCCCCCACAGCCAGCCACACCAGAAAGAGTCTTTCTGATGCTTTCTTCCACTGACATGGTCTTGCTTTTTCAGTCACCAGATTTTTCAGTGGAATCTTTATTTTCATTCTCTACCTTGTTGTTAGTCTCTTAGTCTTTATTTACAACTTCCTTGCAGCTAGAGCCTCTCTTTCTAAATATGAAATCGAGAGTCATTTTTCATTGCAGCTGCAGCCTCCCTCTGTAATGGCAGGCCCTGGAAGACTTGATCACTTTTTCTGTAAACGTTTCCCAGTCAAAGGGGACGTTTCTTACATTGTGTTTGCTTTTAATTCCCCGAAGACAATTTTCCAATTAATTTTATTCTCCTCCCTGCTTTTTCCATTCTCTTCCTCCTGATTTAAAAAATAATAATAAAATAACAAGTACATATAGAGAGGAAGGAAAAAAGAAGATAAAAAGACTTAATATGCTAAGGACAGATTTTGAAGTGGACTTGGCCAATGCTTTCCCTAGTTCCTTTATGGGCATACTGGTGAAAGAATAGATATATCCAATTAAAACACATGTCTTGGGTGGGGGAGAAAAGACGCCTAAAACATTTGTAAAATGTATGAATGCACTTCGACAGCCTGATACTTCTGTTCTTCTGATAATCTTGGGAATCTTGTTTGCAGTCAGTGAAGATTAAGGGCAAAACACCTGGCAGTGTTCATAAGCTATAGTATTGTACAATTCGCTTAGTAATGCTGTGGCATCTGCTACAACTATATCACATTTTTAAAATGAGCCAAAACATGAATTGAATATGTGGTCACATGAAAACAACTAGAGTTGCATAAAGCACTCCTTGGTGGTGACTAATACATTGGTAGAAGGTGTAGATGATTTCCGTAATACACACCGTATCTTTTTCTCAGAAGGACTCTTTATATTTCCGTGTAAATCTAGACATTTGGAGCCATTAAAGTAGAATTAAAATATTTAGAAACCACTATAATATGGGCCTGGTAATGAAAATTAAGGATTCCCAACTGCATGTAACATGTTTATTAAAAGAGAAAAAGCAGAAAATACACAGTCCCTATGAAATTAAGTTTAAGGAAAACGTTTTAGCTTTTGCATAATTTTATGCCTTATAATATGGAATTATAATACCACAATCTTTATATGAATTTTGACTTTTTGGTATTTGTACCTCTTAAGGAGAAAAAAATCTTTTGATTACTTATACCTCTGAAGAACTTAATTCCTTTAGAAACTAACCAATTTCACCAGCATAATTTATCTTAAGGGGTAACAAAGAAAAATTCAGCCTACTTACCCAATTTCTATAAGTAATATGTTGGACAGTAATGAAAATCTACCATGAAATTAGTTAATAAACCATAACAATAAACTTCATACTTAGAATGCAAACTCTATAAAGGAAGAACAACTTTATACTAACCTCAATATTACCTCCAGCTTAAAATGTTTTTTTTTTAATTTGAAACCAAGTACTATTTAATTTACATTAGAAGATGCAACTACATACCTTAATCTGAGTCTGATTTTGTTAATGATACTCAAAAGAGATTGCCTACCAAGAAAATTTTAAATAATAAAAACTATTTCTCCGTACACTCATACTCACATAAGAAATTCTAAGAAAATCAAGCATGCTATCATAGGGGATTTTTGTGGTTGCTTTCTCTTTCTAGTATTTGCTTCTAGCTGCTCCTGGCAATGATGAATTGTTACATGTACGTTGATGTTTCTCAGCCCAAGAACTGTCTGCATTTTTCCTCTATAAGATCTATGGAATGTGTCTTTCAAAGAGAGGTAAATACAGGAACGTTAAGCAGGAAAACCTGAATGTGATGTGCACATTTTCATCTTACATGGACAATGTATTTGTTTTAATAAATGGACTTTTCAGATTCATTTCATATGTAGTCAATTTCATTGTGAAGACCTGTGGGCCACCTCCCCCACGGATTCCATGAGAACGGTCTTTTGGTACAAATGGACGGGGAAATGGTACCCATTGATTTCCTTTAGGATCTTGTTAATGGAGGTGTCCTACGGAAGGAAAATCTCACATGAGAATCTTTAAAAGCCTTTTCCTTTGGGTCTCTATCCCCTAGATACAGTCCTTGGCGACAGAGGGAGATGGGGGTTGTGGAAAGAACCTAGGAGTCTGACAGGTGAGACATGTAACTCGTGAACTGTACTTACTTCAGCTGTGGATATGACAGTGGAATCCCCCCTCCAAAAAAAAACTTGAATGCAGAAAGCACTGTCCTCTGTAAAGTGTCCATAATTTTAAAAGAGCACAGAACCCTCCTTAGAACTTCAGATTCTACAACTCCTTGTCTTAGCCAAGAAAACCTGACTCTCAAATTACACCAGTCACTGGCAGACCACTAAGAAGGAGACACTGGGTCTCCTGTGACTTGGGCCAGCCATGCTGGATCTTTAAAACCACAGATGAAGAGGCAGCTTGGTAGTTTGAGCACTGGGTCAGCATGGCTTTGACAACAGTGTTTCTCAAACTGTGGGTCCAGCCAGGAACCCTTGTGGGCCCAGGACCTATGGAGAGGAAGGAAAAAAGATCAAAGACAGTATGCTAGGGACAGATTTTGACGTGGACATGGTAAATGTTTCCCCTAGCTTCTTTATGGGGATGCAGACGAAAGAATAGACACATCCAACTAAAGCTCATGCCTTGGGTAGGAGAGGAAAAATATGCCTAAAACATTTGTAAAAGGTATGAATGCACTTTGACAAACAGATACTTCTGATAGAACCTTGGGTTTTATTTCACCTGGGACGCGGAAAAAAGGCTGACGCTGGGCCCCTCGCTCCGGATCTCTGGCAGAGACACCAGAACGTGCATTCTGTTGTTGCATACTGTAGTCTGAGGACCGCTAATTTAAGTACCTATGACAACTAGCTTTTCATAATGCCTGGGGAAGGTCACAAATTGTAAATATGCTCGCTCTTATTCCCACAGCCGCAGGACGTGTCTGCCTGGGAATAAACATGTAACCTGTGGGTAGAATCCCGCCCGCTCCCGGTCACTGGCCGCCCCAAGGAGGGTGCTGGGGGTGTTCTCAGCCTCTGTTTTGTTGAGCTCCTGTGGGAGGACTGCCTCCAGCTCTCATTCTTTAATAAGCTGGTCACATTGTAGACAGCGCTCACAATGACAGAGGGAACTGGAGCTGGGTCAGCTCCAATCCACAAATTGCAAATAATTTGCCAAGGGAAATCCCTTTCCCTTCGGTTCTGCCCCAAATCTACATTTTCTTCTATTTAGAACCAGGAGACTTGGGTAGAATTTGTTTTAATGCAGGGGGCCATGGGCTTCTGCAGGCCCATTCCTCTGCAGGAATACCTACTGTATCTCCATGTCAACAGTAGGAGAAGCAGGGAGCAGAGCAGGGGGAAAGGAGTGCATCGCCAAATTGAGGTGACAAAAGACAGCACTTGGTGACGTCGGTCCATAGTGTAAACAAGAGCCCATCTGGCGAGAGCTACAGAATCAGAACTAGGTCGAGACAAAATAAAAGAGAGCAGATAAAAGGGCATCACTAGGGACCAGCAGTTAGCGTTATGGCTATATCTCTGGACTCCCATGTAGTCGACCGTGGTTCGAGTCCTGGACCCAGTGACTTAAACTCCCGCTGGGCACATGTGCATGTGTGCCCAAGATCCCAAGAGGTGAAGGGATTACGGTGTGGCCATCCCCCCTGGGGGGTGATTTCTCACTTTCTGTCTCTCTGTCTCTCTCTATCTTTCTGGCAAGCTCATGCGCCCTATAGTAAAAACCTCTCCAAAAGAAAATAATAATAATAAGGGCATTTCTAGGAAGAGGTGCTAAAGGATCATTACGCTACTTAATAGTAGCTTCCAAAGAAAGGAAGATACTAGAGTTCCTTCTCACCTTTCCTCTCTATCTACCAAGCCCCACTTCCTGACTTTGACTCCTATCTGCGTTCTGGCCACACCTACTGGTATAGTCATTCTGACTCTCGCCTCCTCCCACTCTCGGCCACACCACATGCTCCTGAGTATTCATTAATCAGACGCTTTGGGTTGCAAGTGGTAGGACCCAAAAGAAACTGGCTAATCCCTGGAGAGCCCAGAAGTAGGTTCCACTTCAAGCCCAGCTCAGGAGGTGCTCTGATGATGACATTGGGGGCCCGGCGTCCCTGGCTCTGCTTTCCCTGAGCTGGCTTCACTCCCAGATTCCTCCCCTGCAGCATCAAGAGTGTTTCAGCCAGTCTAGGCTCATATCTCACCAGTTGAGCAGTCGCAGGAGAAAGATAA